AACAGGCTGCAGAGATGGGCAGAGAGAGAATTCATGAAGCTCAGCAAAGGGAGGTCCTTCAYCTAGCAAAGAATTATCCCATGCATCAGTACAGGCTGACCCAGCTCTGCAAAGAAGGACCTGTGAGTCTTGGTGAACAAGTTAACCATGAGCTAGCCATGTGCACTTGTGGCCAAGAAGGCCACCAGCCTCCAAGGCTGCATTAGGCAGAATGGTGCCAGCAGGTCAAGCGCAGATCCTCCCCATCTATTTAGCCCAGTGAGGCCACATCTGGAGTGCTATGTCCAGAACTGGGCTCCAGTTCCAGACATGGAACTGCTGGAGAGAAAACTGAGAGGGGATCTTCTCACTGTATACAAATAACTGAAAGGAAGGAGGGGGAGAAAGAGAGGATGGGRCCAAGCTCTTTTCAGTGGTCCTCGGTGACAGGACAAGAGGCACTGGGCRCAAATTGAAACACAGGAATTCCTGCCCAAACATGAGGAAAAACTTTTTGACTGTGAGAGTGACAGAGCACTGGAACAGGTTGCCCAAAGAGGTTGTGGAGTCTCTTTCACTGGAGATATTCAAAACCCACCTTGATGTGATTATGTGCAACATACTGTAGGTTACTGTGCTTGTGCAGTGGGGTTGGACTAGATGATCTCCAGAGGTCCCTTACAATCTCAACCATTCTGTSTTTTTTTTCCATGCTGTGTTGTCCCTTTGTCTTGCAAAAGGAGAAGGTGTATTTGTTTCACAATTTTAGTCTATCACTTGCCTGTATGGTAGAAATTGACAGAATTGATTTATTTTTGCTGTTAGAAGGGAAAAGGTGCCTTGGATTGTCAGTGATATCAAAAGAATCCAAACAGAAGGTGATGTCAGGATGTTGTGATTCTGCTGCAGACATAGAGAACAGGATTTTCAGACCTTGTGCAAGATGAAGGGGAAGTTGGGCTTGAGAGGATCTTGGGTACTCATAAACCTGATTCCTGCGGAATCATGTTTATCAGATTCCCCTCATGGCAGGGAGGACTCTGTCAGTCCCTGCTTTGTACCTGTTGTCCTGAGGGTCCAAAAATAACTTTCCTGGAGGCTCCAAAGCTCCAAATATCAGATCTAGAGAAAGGCCTGGAGAGACAAAGATACCAACTAGTTCAGCCAACCACCCACATGGCATGGGAGAAAGAATGCTTTGCAATCCATCTGCAGTAGATTTTTAGACATTTCAGTTATCTACACTGCTTCAAATACAGGACTGAAACAAAAATAACCCTAGTATAGTCTGAATAAAGACATTCCCATGTGAAATAAGAGAGACATATTCAAGAYTTTGATTTGAATCAAACAGCCAGAGACTTGGCTGTTTCTTATATCCTAGTTTAAAGCCCTGAGTATGGATTGCATGTTATTTTGAGCTTTATATCTTCTTTTTTTATTATTTTTGTCAAGGTTTTGCCCCATGGGGCAATCAGTTTGCCTCATGGGGCAGATCTGGGAATCTTATCCCATTTTCCTCTAAACTGATCATTTCTGTCCAGCATTCTTGTTTCAATGAACTGGCTTTTCTGAAGATCCAAGAAATACTACAATTAAATTTTTAAAAATAATTTTCCTGGAGAAGTTTTGTCTCAAGTCTTGTGAGGATCAGCCCCAATCCTTTGGCTGGGTGACAAAACAAAGATTTTTCTCTGGTACAAATAGGCACTGACTTACTAGAATAGACACTAGAGTAAGTGAGACAGTTCACTCCTAGGAATAGCAGCAAAAATGAAATTATGGATGCAGATCTAGCAGCTGCAAGAACAAGTAAGTGCTTTGGATGTATGTCCAAGGGGATTTATTAAAAGCAGATGAGAGAGGATGATTATTTTATGCCTTAGTTGCTCTTTGGAAAGTACTAAAGGAGCTGAACAGAGATGAAATAGGATACTCCTGTTTTGAAAGGAGACCAGAGAAGGGCAATTAGATTAATTGGAGCAGAAATGGATAGGAAAGACTCAGGAAACTTAGTATGTTTGGTCCATGAAGTGGCAGATAAGAGACCTTATGGTGATGCACAAAAGAAGGGTGATGAAAATGAAATTTGGTCAGAGCATATTCACTATACAGAAAAATAAAATACAAGATATCAAGCTAAATTATCGAATGAGTTATGAGAAGCACCCTTTTCACCTAGAGACATGAGGCGGTTCATATAAAATAGTAAATGCTTTTAGCAATAAGGTAAGTCAATAAAATGATGTCTGGGAAAACCATAGTCTCCAATGCACTGAGGTACAGAAGGTGTGCTGGAGACAAGCTGGAGCTTCTTTCCATCTCAGAATTGCTGAGGAGGTTCTGGCTCAGTCATTTGGCAGCTCAGCTGACACTGAGGTCTCAGGGCGTCCATGAGTGGTTCACAGCCCTTTCACTTGCTCTGGAGTTGTGTGTTCAGCACAGAAGATACTTCCTATTCTGGCTTAGCTAATTCACAAGATAAGTCTAATCATGCGAGTGGTTGGCATATAGAGAGGAGAACTGAAGGAAATAATGAAAAATGCAAACATTCTTAGAGTGAATAAATGAACATCATCATTACTAGCAGAAAGTTTGTGGTACATAAACTCTAGGATTAGATATGGGCAAAATGGAATAAAAACTACAAGGTAAATCAAATCCCCCCACAATGTTGATTTCTTCCTTCTTTTGGACCAGTCTTAGAGCAGTTCATGGGGTTTTTTTGTTGGTTTTTTTTTTTTTTTCAAAATTCACATCTCACATGCACAAASTAACAGGGGCAGTTTGATGACTACCATGCACTGTGCAAATGTGGAAGAGAAATATACCTGTGAGAGACAAGCTGTGAAGGACATCTATTCAATAGCACAAAAGCACTAATAACTACTATAGGATAAGGAACATGGAATCAATATTTGTGYGGGAAGAAGAATAAAACAAGTTGCCTATGTAGTCTTAGGTTGGAGTCTGATTTATATTTTTTTACAACCACAACTTCTCAACTTGCTTCTTACAGCCAAAGGTACTTTCTCACAAAAATTAATCGCCAGCATCCTATCTCCCAAAAGAAATTTCAAAAGTACATTGAAAGTGCCCAAATGAATGAAGTCTGTCATCTCTGCTAAGAGTGTAAAAAAATGGTTTGGAGAGAATTGAAGATGTCTCCCGATTAAAGGAAAGTGTGTATCAACTTTTTTTAAAATTTTTTTTCTGAATAGTCTACATGGACACACTTGAGGCAGGGATTCATCTGGGGATTGACATGAAACAAATAAAATGTGTTTTACCTTCCCTATGGAAAAACTGATTCCCTCCTCAGAGCTAATGCAAGACACATTCAGACTTGAAAGCCTAGATCTACCACAGTGGCACTTGTGGGTGAAATGGAAAGTGAATTGCCTTTGCATCTTGTAAGACGTTGTGCTTCATCCTTCTCTCATTCCACTCATCAGTCATCACAATGTTCATTGCCTTAGTAGGAGGTAACAGCAGAGGAACAACGACAACAAAACATCGTCTCTGCAACACTTTTAGGTTCGTGCCTACAGGGGTTCCCCAATCTCACCACACAAAATCCCCAGTTACATCCCTAGGGCAGCTTTCTCTTTGATTTCCAAAGACAGGAATTATTTCAGTGATGTAAGGAGGTTCACCTAGATGGTGATATGTAACAAAGAGGGTTTAGGTTCCCATAGGCAGAGGTCTTACCTTTCTTTATTATTTTGTGAGCACTGGGATCAATCAAATAATATATCACAATTAGCGACTCAGAAACCTGATGCTGAAAAATAACAGGTGACAGTGGTTTCTTAGAGAGGAATGAAATTCCTATCCCTTATAAGGTATAAATAGAAAATGAATAAAAAGATGGAAAACGTAGTTGGGAAAACAGTTATGCATGGGCAGGAGGAAAGGCAAGCAAGATGACCTGRCAGGCCTCTTCTGTCTCCGACTCCTGTGTAAGGATGTTAAGTCTGTTTTCCGTAACACTTGAGTGTATTTAATCAGTGTGCAAACTGCCTATTAGCATTTACATCTTACTCATGTGTGGGAAGACATGTTTTAATAGTGTGAAACCTCTGAGTATCTCCTTATCTCTTACATTAATTGCTCCAGTTGTGTCTCAAAATCCCCAAAGGGAATGAGAAAATAAATCCTAGTACCCCTGATTAACTAGACCCRCATTTCTATTGCCTACATATTCATAGCTTAAGTAGGAGTTTAAGAGGAGGGCAGCCCAAAGGCTTAGTTTGGTGGCTCAGTGCTACAGATTGTATTTCCATTCCTTCTGTCTTGTTTCCTGGCTTGGCAAAGAAGGCTTTTTGTATCTCCTGGATGACTGGAAGGGAGAGTAGCTCATCTCTCAGCAGGCACTGACCTCTCCAGTTAACGAGGCAGCAGTACTAAAAGTGACTCCAGAGTCTCTATCGAAACCCAAATTGGGATGGCAACAGGGAAAGTACACAAGAAAGTGTAGAGAGTACAAATGGAACTAAGCATGGAGCACGGGAATCCTTTTTCCTCCTTAATATCACAAAGTATTCTGCTTCTCACTCCTTCATCTCTGAATATCACTTTCTCTCAAAAGCGGAAAATAACATGATTATTTAGGCACACTTTTCAAATTTCTATTCTCCTTTTGTGTAGTGGAAAAGGGCAAATGTATAGAGGAAGTCCCTATAACTTTGCAGGCTGCAGAGCCTCCTCAACAGCTTGGCAGTGGCCTTTCGTGCAAACTCTGTCTGCATGTGTGCGCGTGTCTGTGTGTTACAGAGACAGAGAGGGTTGCTGCTCGATTTAGAAAGTTATAGATGTTCTCATCAGCCCCATGCAATGCAGCAGAGATTCCTTCCAAAAGCCAAGGGAGCAGAAGCCGCAGACAACAGATGTGAGAGGGGTTCCCATAACTGTCAATTTTCAGAGTGTTTGCACTGAAAAGAGAGGAGGTGCTATTTTGATTGATATTTCAGTTGCAGTATATAAAGCAGAGGAATTCTTCTCCCCCTCTGCTTGTCATACTGATCTGCATCCTCTCTCAACTGGACTTGGGGCTACTACTTACTGTATCTGAAAGACTGAAACTCACTGGGAATAAAGATTTCTTGTAACAATGCCGGAACCCACCACGAAAGCTGGTAAGCATAAAAAACCACGCTTTTCTTAAGCCAAGCTTTTCTTAATTACATGATTTATGAATACACACAAAAATGCCCTGTATACCATCTTGCACGGTTTAAATAAGAAGTGATATTTAAAAGTGATAACCTTATAGCACCATTATACAATCACAGATTATTGCTCCTTTAAGCTACAAAATTACTTTCAGGTAGGTGTATAGCACAGAAAAGCTTGACCTTCAGCTATTTTAGACAATAAATCAATGGTTTAGCAAAGATATCAAAGATTTTGGTAAATATTTCATTTACTTTTTAAAGACTGCAGATTTTTTTGTAGTGCATTTAGTGGTTTCTCTTTAGCTAAGATAACTAGACTCTGGAAAACAGGGTATAAACTGTTATTCTGTTTTTAAAAAATCAGCATGTATCTATATTTTTATTAGTGTTTTGAAAATAAGGGTTTTTATATTATTAAATAGAAGCAAAATGCTCATGAATCAGTTTTAAGGTTTTGGTAAAAATTAGTCTCTATGTATTATGCATAAATAAAGAATCTAGCAAGCTTTTCTACACACGTCAAACCTCAGTGATATATTTTACCATACTAGAGGAATTATTGTGATAGTCTTTGGGAGGACCAACAAGACCAGCAATACAGGCCGCTTTATTATATTCTTTTCCACAGTGRAGTTCACAGAAATGAATCCAATTGTGTAGTCTGTTAGCAAGATTCAAATTATCCATCAGAGGCATGGCTATCATGGAAAACATATGGAAAAGTTTGGGGRCTATTAATTTACATCTTTTTAAAAACTGACCTTCACTTTTTACTGTTTTGGAAATTCAAGCTAAATAAGCTTCTTACAGTCAGATTACTTCTCCAGCCTTTGACTTTTTTTTTCCATACTTAAGTCACTTTGAGAAATTCTGATAATTACTGTTTAGCATTGACAATRTGTATAGCCTTTATTAAATCATAAATATGCAGACTGTATACTTTGGAAGTACGGGGACTTATAGATTCCCTAATGTTCCCTAATGCATGCCCAAGATGCAAAACAGAGTTAATTCTTAAAGATATTTTTGAGGAAAGAGTAAGAGTCATTAAATAGCATTTATTTCTCATCAGTTGTGAAATATCTAGCAGTTCCATGTTTGTAGAATGAATAATTACATTTGATTTAGCATTGACCCATGAACAGAATTTGCTTTATTTTTGAAACGTTTTCTAGTTTTGTGGAAGGCAAGAGCAGAGCAACTTTTATGAGCATTATACAGTTTCAGCACCTTGTTGGGGTTCGGACATGTGAAAACTAAACTTTTTGCAAGATTGAGCCTTAACCAAGTAGTGTTGACAGACCAGCATGATCATTTTACTTACTGGCTCTCCTTAATGCTCGAGGACAATGATGGATGAAGTCTCTCTCTGAAAATAGCTGCACCAAGTGCATGTATTGATACGAGAGCCTAATCCTGTATATCAAGCCTAGAGCCAAGCCCCTTCTAAAGTGTCTTATTTGTAATGCAWATGATTTACACATGTATTAAGTGTCCTTTTATTTGATCTTATTTGCCTGGATATTGCACAGTTTAATMTGAATGCATTCTGTGACTATATATATAAAAAAATGAAACATTTCTATGATTTTAAAAGAAATATAATATGGAGATAATSTGTATGGAGGCTCATAGTTTTTAAGGATGCCTTTCTGTTTAAGAACGGATTGCTTCAAAGGTGTTCTTACAACACAGTGAATTCAAATGCAGTTCCRAGGTTGTGTTACAAAATTAGTTTAGTTTTGAACCACAATATTTTGAGATATATATAAATGTTTTGGGGTGAGTCAATATTCACTGGCGTAAAACAAAATATTAAAACCTTAGATCATGATCAAGCTAAAGTTCACAGAAGGTTCACATGAACTCTGGAAAACTGACACATACAGGTTATAGAATGGTGCCTCCTTATTGCACTCAGCTTAACTGCAGTATTTATTTTACTATACTTAAGAGGCTGGCTGATCCCTAAAGTCATCTGGTGCATCAGGGACTCACTGGAGTGGGTAGTACTACTTGTCATACTGTACTAGTTGGTTACTAGTAGTAAGGTACTATTAACAGTACAGTATCACTGCTAGTTCTGACAGTAAGTCTACCAGTGAGAACTTAGACCATCATGTCTGTTAAATGCCTATTCTCAAAGAAGTTTCCAAAACATGAAGGACTGAAGGTAATTAATTAATGAAGATTAACTTTGGACTATGTAGACTGACTACACTCTGGCAAGTGCCACTGGAAGGACTGAGAAGCTTTTGGGGAGCTGGTGGGCTGACTACATTAAAAGGGAGGAAAAAAGGAGGCATCACAGAAGCACCTTAGCAGTAGGTTTCTTCTGCCATTTCCAAAAGAAGCAAACTACATGAGGGATCCCATGCACCTTACTCTAACAGGTCCTTGTAGAGTTAAAATGAGCAAGCAACTGTTAAATCGGAAACTGGGTAGCACAAGAATATTGATAAAATCCCATTTTATGACATTCTTGCATTTTAAGGCACTGGAATAATGGCTRTATTTTGCAGAGAGGCTAGTTCTGCAAACTCCTAGGCTTTTCTCAAGCCAAATGCTCACTGAGCTATTTTAAGATTATTAGATTAGACCCAAGATTAGACCCAAGTGGGAAATTTCCTGATTTGGTGAAAGGGGAGCCCCACAGTGCACACACTCAGCTGAGAGAAGGTTGTTGGAGCACTTCAGCTGAATGGAATTTGTCACTGTACACACCGGATTCCATAATTAATGATTTAGGGCCTTTGTTACTCCTAGAAAGTCAAAGCCCTGTATATTTTATCCTCTGCAGCTTCCTTGCGGTAAATTGGCRGTGTCACTGTAAGACAGTTCTGTCTGTTTAAAATTTCTCATTGACAAGGTGAAGACTRTATCAGTGGGCATCCTGGAAACTGCTCCCAGTGGATGACTAGGATCATCAGGGCAGTTACCAGGCCAGTTAACTTTAATAGCCTTTAGTTTTCCAGATTGCTAACAAAATAGCCCTTCGTCATATAAATATTTCCTGTAATTTATARTAATGGTTCAGCCAATCCTCCTCTCTCCCTCCTAATATTCATAATAAGGGATGTCTATTAATTAGCTGCCCTCTTAAACTGTCACAGGCTGTGACTTTTGGCCATGCTCTTGTAGAAGTGCCAAGTCTATCAAGAGCAAGTTTCAAACTATTTGTGGGCATCATCCCACAGGCACAGGTGCAAGTCAGTCTCCAGTGGGCCGCTCTGTAAATTTGCTGTATTTATTCTCCCCAGTCTAGGAAATAATTCCTAGTCATGAGTTAAACGACCATTCCAAATTTTAGGCAAAGAATTTTCCAAATTTTAAGCAAAGAATTTATCGACAGTCTGCTAGTCTCATTTCCTAAAGATTTGCAAGGTCTGCTTGAATATTGCCTGGAGCTTCCATTAAAGCATGGAAGATCATTAAAGCATGATTTCTTTTAATATCACATTTTCAAAGTTAGATTTCTTTTTCAGAGCTGAAAAAAAAAAGTTAAATGGAAATTCTGTTTAAGTATATGGATTTGGCTTTGGTCAAAATTAAACTTGTTGATAGAAAGTTTTCTGAAAATTCAAGAACTGGGCATGTGAACATCATAAAACTTGCTTAGCRCTTTTCACCCAGAAGAGCGAACCTGAGCACTCATTCCTTTATGGCACCGAAACAGGCAGTGCAGCTGCTGCTGTCCTTGCTGCACGGGCACATGCTTCAGTAAGGCACAAGGAAAGCATCTAGGCATCTATCTTCTGCCATCCTCACTTTCCCCCTGCAGGACCAACTGTAAAATGCATTATCTCTGTGCTAACCAGCTCCAGTTTTGGACCCCAGTCACCCAGAAAATGGGTCCATTCAAGTCATTTACAATGATGTATTAAAATGATGAGTTCYGACGTCAGAATTTGCAGCAATACTAGCATTGGCAGCTTTCTAAAGAACAAATTCTTCTTCTTTACGTGTTGCAGGTGGAAGAGGGAAGGGGGAAACCCTAACCCCTTATCTTATTTTCCCTATCAATTCTTCAGAAAGTTTCTCTTCATCACCTCCAGTAATAAATTTAAAGCCTTTACAAATAGAAAGCAAACTTATGCCTAGCTATTGTAATTGGATCTGCCGGGGTGGGCCCTGCTGCCATGCTGAGCTCTGTAGCCGGGTATCATCCTGCATGGATCTTGTTGTGTGTTGCAAGTTGGGTGGTTCTTGGGCTGTGTATGTCCTCCTCCAGCTAATTTCCACGTGGAGCTCCCACACTTCCTTCGGAGATATCAGTCTGCCTCTGATTTGTTCTTTGACCTTCCACATCCACCTCTCTGAAGTAGAAGACTGCTTTTCCAGTTACATTATGCTGCTTGAAAAACAGCCCACGCTGGCAAAGAAAAATACCCACATTGGTTGGCTTCATTTGGGCTTTTTCTTTTTTCTTTCTTTCTTTTTTTTTTTTTTTTTATTTGTTGTTGTTGCTGCATTCTTTTGGTGTAAATTGGAGGAAAAAACATTTTATTTTCCTTATACAATACAATTCCTTTTATTTTAATGCAATCACATGCAGATAATGAAAGATTGGCCTGGCTTGCTGAGATTCTAACTGAGTGGAAAAGCTTACCCGCTCTGTGCATAAAGCAGAGTGGCTGGCTAGGCACAGGAAAACTACTTAAAATAGTCTCACTAAAATCAAAAAATCATTGAGTTCAAGGGAAAGAAGAGAAGTGGCTTTTCAGCAGGCCAGAAGGTGCTTTGTACTTGGCAGAACTAAAATGAGCAAATGCTGCCTTTGTGCTTCCCCGTGCTGCACCTGTTGGGAAGATAAATAAAGGACTGCCCAGTTCTTTCCCCTCATACCTCCTAAATATATCACTTAAGGAGAGCTTGCTAAAAAGAAACATGCCACAACACCCTTCTGCTCCATAAAAAGACTGGAGGAGTTTCTCTGGTTTAGTTTCAAGGATCTACCAAAT